TACATATGGTGTTGTAGTGGGTAATTGCACATTAGCCACTAACCGAGTTTAGGAATCTAACCCTTATCGCTAAGCTGTTAAGGTCCACTATAGCTTGGCTGCGTAGCGGGAAAGCAGGAAGAATGAAGAACGAAACTCGAAGAAATGAATAATATTATTAGATAGAAGATAGAATATTATATTATAAGATTTTATACAAGCAAGCAAGCAACGTCTAAGCGCGTGTACACTAGGTTCCGTCGCCGATGTGAAACTGATGAAGTACCTCCGCTTACTGCGCGCACGCAAGTAATTGAAACATCGTATGATTTTAGCCCGCGGCCCCAAGCTCATAAGCGGCCGCGATTTTGCGCGCATTATAAGGCGGTGGTCCAAGTTGTAACTCGCTACAGTGTTATTTGATACCTCCAATTTTGACTGCAGCTCGGCCAGGCTAACTTTGAGGGATGTAATGTCCTTAAGAAGCCTGGTTACGTCGACGTGGTCAAACGTGATGGGCGGCAGTTTATGCAGGTCCTTCACCATGAAATCGGGCAAGTCATCCGGGTCAGTCTCCTTCATCAGGGTGATTATGTCCTGGATACTCTTCTCGGTACCATCTCTCCGGCGAGACGGTATCTGGTCGATTTTGCCGAGCGTCTAGAACAGCAGCAACTTAGCACTGCATATCTCTGCTTCCTTGAAGGCAGACTTGCAGATCTGCAAGATGCTGACCTCGTCCATATAATCAATGGCATGCTTCAAGAATGCCAATAACTCGTTTGCTATGAGAGGTTTAGAACTCATTGCTAAGTACACGGGCAGCGGCTATAGCCGCGCAATTTACGAATAAAATATTCGTTGCGAGCAGCGTACACACGTCCGTACTCGACCGTGCATCGCGGCCGATGCGTTTGTCAGAGGAGTCTTTGTCTAGATAATCTTAGAAAGTGCATATAACTCGGATAAAGTCACATTGGTACCTGGCATTGGTACGTTTCATACCCTCACCTCATGCATGAGAAGCGGGCGTCTTAAACTTCCGGACCACCGCGACATTGCTGATCAAGCGATGAGCAAATTACAATAGTTATCAGAAAAATATAAAGAAGAATTAATAAGTCACTAATTATTCTTAATTTATATTGTTTCTGTGTTATCCTGAATAAAGTACACCCTGTTCTTGTATTTTAGCTCCTATAGCTTTGTTTACTTTTTTTTCTGTTTTCTTTTTTCTTACGTAATTAAAAATAGTGCTTCAGTAACATAAGATTTTAATTTCTGAGTCAACTGACAAACTAAACTCAAACTATTGTAAGGGAAATATGTGTAAAGAGATTAAAGAAACCCGTAATATATACAAAACTAATATTTATGTAACTAACTCTAATATTACTACATTAATAAGACCGGTAAAACTATCTTAAAATAATATGTGAAACAAAATGCTAAAGACGGTAACCTATATTAACAGAGTAGCTAGAAGCCCTACGTGCGTTGTGTATTGCCTGAGTGGCGGGTGGATTGCTAAAGGCGGTAGTACAGCCGAACTAACAATTCACGATGCTAGCTCAAGTCCAGCAAGGTGCGAGGCACTCGTGACCGACCTAGGTCGATTCAGAGGGTATACCCGGAGCATGCCGAACCCGATCTGCTGTTGCTGGCTGCTATGAACCTTTTTATACACGGTCGAGGGTCGAAGGCTCGTTGGTTTGGTCATCGCGTTATACTATTAAGGACTCGAGTCAACTGACTAAACTTGATATTTTTTATTGTTCCAGGCTGGTAGTACACATGATTTTAATCTTGGCCATGCTCCAGGAACTCCATCACCGGCATTGTGTTGCGAAAGCCTATTCTACAAAACCCCCATATTCAGTAACCCCAACTAACGACCCAAGACGAGAATTTTACAAAAAACTTGGATGGAAAAAGCCGATAAATCCATGGATTTATCCTCTATACTACAACTATCAATTGCAGACCCACAGACATCATAATGTCGTAATTTTTACAATAAATATAAAAAATTTTTTAGGTTCGAAAAGGGAACAAACATATATAACCACAGGAGTTTTCATTAGCTCAACTCGTGTCCTTACTTCATTTAATCCTTTTAAACAATTTTTACAAGATCCTGAAGTTGTATCAAAGACTTTAATACTTTCGGTGCATTATTTTTGGCACAATAAAAAGTACGGACCTGCATACTTCGCACCACGTGCCGATACCATTCAATGTGGACGTGAAATAATACCTTTACCGGATGGTGCTGATGTGTTTTATATGGACAAAGAGAAAATGTATTCCCCACTTCACGATTTAATGGTGTTTAGAGTATCTGAACCCAAGGAATTTTTGCCGTTTCCGAAATACGTATTTTATTTAAATTTTAGCCCAAAATGGCGCTTTTGGAATATGACCATACCAGGATCGCGGCTTGCTTCACCTCTTGACAGTATACCTAAAGTACTCGAAATTGTTGGATTAGGTTTTCGAAACGAAACAGAAGTTAAGAATTTCGATAAAATGTTTGCTTTTACAGTTGTTAATAATCCTGTCGACTTCTTGGACTGCGATAACTGGATACCTCGAGAGTGGGGTTATTTCATATGCATCCGAAATTTTGTGGGTGTACCCGTGCTGCCGTCCGGTGCCATTTTAGTACAAACCAACTACAGGGTGTTGGGAATAGGCAGTTTCATGTTAACCAGAAATGGGGAAGAAATTTTAGTTTTTACTGACGTGAGACCTTACAGAAACCAAATTTTGCATGCGTGCTCTGTATACGAGTTCGAAAATACCCCACACAAAAATATATGGTGGTGATTTAA